TCTGACCTTCAGTATATTATGACTTGTTTAATGAACTACCGCGTGTTGCTGCCCTTCAGTGCCGGTGTGGTTATTTGTTGTGTCTCTGCCCTTAGTATCTATTGCACGATCGAAATAATAAGCACTAGTGATTGAAATAGGTACAATATATGCTCTGCCCTTAGTAGCAACATAAAGTCAGCCCAAGATTTTATGCCACGGCAAGATATAAGTTATATAAGATAAGTTATCTGTTTTTTCTGGTGATATTAAGTAATATTAAATTTATTTTATTATCTGATCACCATTCGTTTTGACCAAAATAGTTACTGCTATTGTACGACCAAAAATATTGTGCATTTATTGCTTTGACGTTGTAAGTATTTTAAAGTACCTTAACCCCAGACCTTCGCAGCACCGTGGTAAAACCCATCCCAACAGCCCAACAATATCTGTAGAAGCTTGAAAATTTTATTTGAAACGTAAATGGACCGTTTTAAATTTGATTAAGCATTGATGCTACGGGGTATTTTCGAATAAGTAGCGTTTATTTTAGCATCAGGTGATATGTATCATTCTTAAGCGTTTAATCTAAATTGCAATATGTTCGTATATTGTTAGATACCTAGCCTAAAATTTCATTTTTATTATTTACTTTTTACCAGTGCCTTATTGGATGATTTAACTTTGTTACAATTTATATAAAACTTAATTCGCTCGTAAGTATATTCCTTATTTGATACATTTTGTTTATAAAACAAATCTTAGGTGAAGTAGACAAATATAATTTCATATCCTAAACACAAACAATTTTAATAGCATCACTTCTAATCGAACATGGATAGACGTTTTACTCTCACGGTCAAGTAAACATTGGAACGCAAAGAGCATCTTCTTTCTCAGATTTCCAGATAGAAAAACCCAAGTCTCTCGAGTAGGTTAAGCGAAACCTGCTCTATACTTGTAATAATTTTAAGACTTCAAATAAAATAGTTGTTGTTTTCGCTGCTCATCCGTCCATCCTGACAACATTTTCCTGAAGGGCACGTAGAAAACACATCTCTGGTGTCAATTTTGAGTAACACAACAATATATTACGAGGTATTTGAATGTGATCCTTCCAGTAAGTACGTATTTATGTATGGTCTGTTCATAGATATAAGAAAGTGACCAATTGCTTTGAATGGGATTATCCAAGGGTGGTCATTAACATACAATGCAACAAGATTATTGCATAAAGTTTCGGAATTTAAATTCAGGCAAAATTGTGGTTCGTAATAGAAAATAATTTTATACCTACCTGTGTTTAATATTCTTTGGTTTGGTATACTACTTAGTTTAAGTTTATTAGTAATCATTCTTATTTCGTGTGTAGAATCGTGTGCGAATTATGCAAAATATGTGCGAGTCTAGTGTATCTCAGGAGATGCTCCCGCCCAAATGTAGAAAACACTATCCTATTGAGACTAAGGAAGTTATAAACAATGTTTATTTGACTCTCATTGAACGTGGTGCCAGCAAGCAAGTATTTATAGGAGAAACGGCCACATTGATGAAAATTCCAACATCAACTGTATGGAAAATTGTGAATAATCCCATTTCAGCGAGGAAAAAAAGAAGCGATGCTGACATTTTCTCGAGTGTAGATGAAAATGATCAAGATATAATACGGCTTAAAATTTATCAGTTATGCGAGGAACAAAGCGTGCCTACATTAGATATCTTAATTAGGAGGCTTGGAAAAGATGAAACCGGTGTTAAATGTGGCAGTGTATTCAACACGTGGGTTTTAGATTTAAAAAAATTGATAAAAGACAAGTTTTGAATTACTTTTTGTATAACAATAAAGAATTAATTAAATTATATGCCATATTAACGTCACATCTTAAATGATAATAATAAAAAATATTAACCGGGGTCAAAACAGTTTGAAATTTACCAAGCCTTTTATTTATTACTGCAATTACGCTAGAGAGTATATCGATAAAGATAAAGATTTGGATTCGGTAATACTTGCCGATGAGTATCGGTATGGAGAAAGCCTAAGGAAGGAAGGAAGGAAGAAATTTTTAAAGCTACGGTAAGGCACAGTGGAAGTGGAGTGATGTTATGGAGTTGTACGTCATCTGCAGGAGTAGGTAATATGCATTTCATTGAAGGAAATATGAACGAATATGTGTATTTGGGTATATTAAGACAGCATATAGTTGCTAGTGCCCAAAAATTAAATATGGGCATCAATGATCGGTTCTATCATGACAATGATCCAAAGCACACGTCATTTCGGGTCCGCAGTTGGTTGCTTTATAACTGCCCAAATGTTATTAAGGCACCAGCCCAGTCACCAGGCTTAATCGCAATTAAAAATGTGTGGTTATCATTAAAAACCAAAATAAATAGTGCCCCAATATCTAACCAGAATAAATTACTGAAGTATGGAACACAATTTCCCCGAAGTATACTAGAAAATTAGATGAATCAATACCCAGAAGATTACAACCAGTTATCGATAATGAGGGAGGCCCGACTAAATATTAGCAGAAGTATTTCAAATTATGCAGTTGTTTTTCTGTATTGATTTGGTTATATTTTGTTTTGCATCATTTAAGCTGTGACGTTAATATTGTATATAATTTAATTAATTCTTTATTGTTAACTAAGTAAGGCATAATTAAGACAAAAAGTAATTCACATTTTTTTAGAAGGCTGTTTACAAAGTTAATTTCAATAAGTCGTTTTTTTTTTCAAATAAATAAGGAAACATTCAGACCAGCTAGTTTTTGTTATAGCGACTGCATCATTTAAGCTGTGATTCACCGTAAGTAACGAGTTAATAGTTAATAATAACTTTCTGATAACCCGAAAGCGAGTGCATTAACGCCTTTCTGTCGCAATCTCGTGCGTGTGTTTTTAAAAAATTTAACCCGACAAACGTGACGCAATTCGCATTTCCGGTCGCCCCCTCATTACGTCACAAGGCTAAGCCGGTCGGCGACAATAAATCGACCGCCATCATGAAGTCGGAGCTACTTATTTCATTGAGCGCGTAATGTGACTCATTTAAGTATACTTACTCGGCGGTCTTTTTTCACCGTATATGTGTTAGTGGAACGGGTTCGGAGATTGTATAGGTATAACGGATGCACCGTATGCATTTTTAAGTTCGTAAGAGAGTCGTTAAGAAGCGCCGCTGTAGTTTTCATTTTAAAACGGCAAACTAGCGATGTTTTACGTATAGAAGGGATAAAGTGGTTCCATCCGCTCACGTTATACTTTTGGATACGGCCCTGGTTCCGATGTACCGAGCGTTCAATTTATCTTTGGATGGTTATTTTTAATGGCTGTAACGTTTTTATTTTTAAAGATATCTAGGTAAATAAAAAAATTAAATATAGAATTAGCTGTGAAGCTTTTTCCTAAAACAGTAACAAATTTCTGAGATCTCAGCCTATTTCATATATTTTCTTATTATTATTCAATTCGAGATATTGGCAAAAATAAGAAATGTCATATAACTTCGAAGAGCGCTAGGACTGCCAATTTAAGTCATCCATATATTTTACATATTGCCAAGTAATATTGATTAATGCTGATAAATTATTGACACAATTATTATTATTATTATTGTTATTATTATATATGCTTAAAATATACTATGGGAATAATAACTAATTGGACTTTATCCAAAGCGACGAGTCTTGTCGAACAGATATTTGCGAGACTTGCAGAGAAATTTGAGGAAACCAGTAAAGTGTTAAATATCAAAAGAGCATGTCGGGATAAACGTGTGTTAACAAAGCCTCTCGGAAGACAGGTTTTTCGCGCAGTTCAATCAACTCAGTTTTGATGGAATATAATTTTTTAAATTTTTTAAATTTCGTAAGACCTATGAGCTTGATGAAGAATAATGCCAAAGCAGGATGCGGTTTTGTTTGGAATTTTTCTAGGAATTTTTAAATAGATACAACGAAAATAATAACTAAGAAAATATATTTTATCAACCGATGAAAGTTCGTTCACTACAAGTAAATATATGCGATACCCAAGGGTAGCAATCAATGTTTGGTGTCGTAAACGCTCATATTTTGAGTTCGCTATTGGTTTTGCTTTAACAGCGAACAGCCCGGACATAAGATTATTAGATCTCTTCTTTCTGTGATAATGTCGTGGAACTTCGGCAAATAATTACAGTGGCAATCAATCAGTTAAGAGACAACTATTCATAATATTCAGAATAATGATAGAAGTTAATTCATTTTCATTTGTAAAATGTTATAAGGTAAAAATCACCTACTTTTGCCCTATTTTTCCCAATATCTCGAAAACAAGGCAAATAAACTACAAAGTGTGTTATAAAATACACAGAGTATTCCATTTAAATATATATCTAATGGTCTGAGAACTCTGTAAAAACAAATAGGCTACAACCAACCAAGTAGTACTCATTCAAGCTATGAAAGCAATTTTCGTAGAGAAAGGTTTTTAGTTTTAATTTTTAACTCTTGCAAAAGTTTATCAGCAAGTTAATAATTTAAAATGTAAAATTTGGATATATCCCCAGAAATAAACATGTGTTATAGCTACATCACTCCTTTATTATTTAAGGTGAATGTCATATAATATGATTGATTCACAATTATTATTGCGCTAACGTTAAGAAACTTATTTCCTTTTTTAGTAAGGTAGGTATGTATGTATGTAGAGTTGTACATCATAAAACAATATAAAAAATAAAGAAAAACCGGAAGGCAGAATCAATTCTCAAAAAAAGGGCGAAAAAAACTTTATTAACTTTTAAAGAGCTAAGTTTACTTTTCACCTGATTAACTAACAATTATTGGACACGTAATAGGCGTGGCCTTGACTATTCCATATAAATAATCGACAACAAATTTTTATCTTATCAGCAGTAAAAGAAGCTTTTGCAGGCAAGTACAGGTATCAGTTTTTGGCACGCAATTCGGTTGGGTGGTATCATGCACACCTAACTTTGATCACAAAATAAGATTGCTTAATCTTACCTCATCATTGAGTTTTCCTTTCGAGGCCATTTTTCACCACTTTGATAATTCTTCTTCACAATTTGCTGGACTCGCGTGTTTATAGATCACTAAAATACTAACAATTATATTAACACATTTTCGATTTTATTAAGGTGAAATTTTGAACCGAAATTATTCAATCAAGTATTTTGTTGACATTTTCCGTTAGGGAGTTAGGAGTGTTTCGTTTCCTTGTTTTATGTTGGCCAGATTGGTTTATCAATTCTTCTTCTTTATCGATCATTGAACTTTATAAACGAGGATAACCACAAGAATATTTGCATTATCAAACGGGCTTCGATTTCAATTTGTACTGTTGTCATCGATACTCAGTTGATTCTGTCGTGAACATTGCGGTTTAACATTCGTTCGCTCCCGAAAGAATCCGTTGTAATTGTCCCACAAAATTTTGATATCATTTCCATCGGTGTCCATGTGTAAGTCAGATTTGGTCTTCTTGAATAACTTTTATTGCGCAGTCTCTGATTTATTGCCATTATTAAACTATGCTTATATATTTTTTGTTAATAAGAGTTTGATTACACATATGTTCTGTGGTTTCTATCTACTTCTATGGTTTATGGTTTTATAGTAATTTAAAGAAAATTGTGGACGAGTTGTTTATCTGAGTCCTTTGTCTATTGAGGTTATGTATTTCAGTTATTTCTTACAATCCAATAACTATGTTAGTGTTATTGTATTTTAGTTAATTTTCACATGTTTGTTTTGCTTACAAAAACAAAAGTACGGTACTGCCATTATGCAAAATTGGTATAAATTAATATGTAACAAAAGTGAACTTCAACTTTTAGGTACTCTAAATGGTGGTCAAAGTTTTAGGTTTATAATCTAATAATTAGTTTAGCTCTATCCTTCTGATGTTTTCTCATTTTAGATGGAAACAGTATTTTAAAGATGATAAGGAGCAATGGATAGGAGTTTTTTCAAAAAGAGTTTGGATTTTGCAGCAACAAGACAGTTGTATTTTATATAAAGTATTTGAGAATGACCTGGAAGTCAGACAGAGTGAAGAATTTTACAATAAACTTTTATTAAAATATTTTCAATTGGACCTCAATTTGCAAGATTATTATGACCATTGGGGCAAACAAGACCCTTATTTCAAAGATGCTGCGAAAAGATTCTATGGAATTAGAATATTAAATCAAGATGTTGTTGAAAATATTTTTTCTTTCATTTGTTCACAAAATAACCATATTTCTAGGTAAGTAATTATTGATACAATGGGCAATAATTACATTTCTTATGACATTTTAGGATCACACATATGGTGCAGAAATTATCAGAATTTTATGGCAGTAAAATTTGTGACATTGATGGTGAAGCATACTATTCATTTCCTGATGTCCAGGCCCTGGCTCAGGATTCTGTAGAACAAAAGCTCAGGGCATGTCGTTTTGGGTATAGATCAAAGTACATTAATAATTCTGCCAAATTAATCCTTAGCGAAGGAGGTGACAAGTGGATAAATGATCTTCAGAGTTTGAACTATGGTTCAGCAAAAAAAAAGCTCATGACCCTTGCAGGAATAGGAGCAAAGGTAAATAAACAAATTGTACAAAAACTCTCAGAACAGTGATATAATTACAAAACTTTTGGAAATTGACTTAAGTCCATCATTAATCCTTAACTGATTTCATACATATGGTAAAACAATATTTAACTTACTAATACCAAGTTTTTAAAGTCACAATTATGCATGCAGTTTGGTCACTTATGCCAGATAAATACCAAAATTTCATTTTCATTTTTTGCTTCTCCTGAAAAGTTATGCTTTTTGCAATATGGTCACTGTTCTGCGGGGCAGCGATTTTAACATGTATTGTATAATTAACTACTTTGTGAACTTTTATTTTTGCAATTATCAAATTAGTATGCTCGTTAGGTTGCAGATTGTATATGCCTGATGTCCCTGGGTCATTTGGAAGCTATTCCAGTTGATACTCATATTTTTCAAATAGCTGCCAGTTTGTACATGCCAGAGCTTGCGACACAAAAAACAGTTACACAGAAAATTTACAATGCAATTGGAGATCATTTTCGTGAGTTGTATGGGCCACTAGCTGGTTGGGCTCACACAGTAAGATATTTCTCAAAACCAAACAGAAAAAAAATAAGTAATTGTTTTGTTTTCAGGTACTCTTCTGTGCAGATTTGAAAAAATTTCACATTCCTAAAAGTACCCTAGGCTGTCAAGAAACTAAAAAAAACAAAAGGCAAAAATCTGTGTAAAATATTTTATTTTCTATTCTACAATTATTTTTTATTATTCACTATAATTTTCAACAAAATAAAATGTATATTTTCAAATCAGTTTCAAAATAGTGCTTTTTCAGTTTTGCAAAATGCAAGATCTGCAAGGGCTGTGCAAAATAATTTTTCACATTTTTATTGTAACTTGTAGTTGTTTAAAAAATAGAGGAACAGAGAATAACAAGTATTATTTCAAAAGTTTGTGTTTGTTTATAAAATAGTGATACTTCTTGTCAGTCCATAATTGGGTACTTAAGATTAAAAAATAGATTATTTTTAGAAATATTTTTCTCTTTTTAAATTTTAAATTAGCTTTAAAGGACTGACTGACTGACTGACCTTACTGCACATAGCATCATATTCATTCCTTTTTCTGTTTCTTCAATTATATCCGACACATTACGATTTAAAAACTTTAGGTATCCCGCAGCCACACTAGATTGTCATTATAGTCAAAGTGAGTCGCTTTCCAAGATTTTGGATTTTTGAAAAATCAAAAAGGAAACTAAAACTAATGTCTTACAAAAATTTATGACGAAATTATGTGTTGTCGATTCATTAGATGTTTTTTAGAACAAACAAGAAAGAAACTAATGAAATAAAAATATTTGAAAGGTGACAGTTTAAGTATAAGGAAAAAAAGCATAATAATAAATTCATAACCCACAATATTTGCTATTTTTGTAACTTTATCGTTTTACTACCGACACTTTAAACGTTAGTGAGAGGGAAAAATATTTCTCATAAAATGAGCACGCTTCAAATTAGGGATTACGTAGAACAACGCCAAAAGTATAAAAAGTCCCCAATAAATTTAATAATTTATTTAGAACAAAATTGTTTTGAATATAATTATCAATTTTATATTTCTAAAGAATTAGTTATGGGAGACCCACTTAGTTTACTAATAGAAAATTTTATGAACAATTTAGAAGATATTACATGAACATCCTCCTATTAAAAGCTTTTCTTTAAGCCAGGTAGACCAAATTGTAAGAAATTTGCTAGATAAAATTGCCATACCATTTTTCCCGAATTTGTGCCTGTCAATTGAAGCATAAACTTTATTTTAATAAACTTATAGGATTAACCTTTTTGACAAAAGTCTAAATACAATTTTATGAGGTACTAGATATCGCACAGGAAAATATAAGTGAAAAAAATGCAACTACAGAACCTCATATAGACTGGACGCTAATTCCTTTATCGTAAGTCTAATTGCACTTGAAAGTTTCGCCTTCCTAATATATAATTGTAAAAAGTGCCAAGGGTCAATTTGTTTAAAAAATTGTAGGTAATGTAAAATATTACCATAACAATTGCAGACCATTAGAAAACAACTCAATAAACAATTTGTTTGAAAACGTTGCATTTGAATAAGTAAGACAAGAAGAAGAAGCCCTAAATGTCAGAGAATTGCACAGAATTTAGTTTTAGGGAACATAACATAATTACTTACTTATATTAGATTTTATTCAGCAATTTTTACAAAAATTTTCTTTTTTTTTTCTAAAGAAACTCTCACAGGCTACTGTAATACTTTTTATAAAACTTCCGGATTTCTCCTGCGGCAATTTTTGTTGAGTCGAACTAGCTAACGTTTCGCCAATCATCCTGATGGCTTCTTCAGAGCTTGACTGAAACAAAAACCGACGCAGGGGGAATCCAGAAGTTTTATAAAAAGTATTTTCATTTTTCTCGTTTTTAGTATATTAGAATTATTGATTTTCCTTATATACGGCCAAGTTATATGCGTGGTGGTAAAAACTGACTAGTGGTATCGTTTATCGCAACAAAATTTAAAAAACAAAATCGTGTCTACCATGCTTTAGACACACAAAATGACTCCCTTTCATTATTTTATTCAGAGAAAATTGAAAAAGAATAAAAAAATAAACAGCTTTTAAGTATGGTTACGATCAGTGATGGACAGATAAGAATATAACTAAAAAAACAGTTTCAAATAACTTTGAACTCTATTTACCCTATGTTAATTTCGATCCAAATGTATTTAAAACAATAATCAGCGTTACCAACCCTACTGTTTTAACAGTAGATTTGCTGTTTTCACATTGATGACCATGTTTTCTGTTTCATTCCTATTTTCTACTGTTTTTCGCGTTCAGCGCCACCTAATACACTACTATGCAAACATTTTTTGATAACCACTACGCAATAAAACGCAATGACAAACCACTACGTAATAAAACGCATTGATACTAGATGGCAGTATCTTTATATTTTTATGCACGGGGAAATCCCTATTTACGAATAACAGCTACACGCCTATTGTATTGCGTAGCGTAGGTATTGTTTTATAGTCACACGTGACAACACCTTGAACAGTTTCTTTGAATTGCGGCGTCTATTTTGAAAAAATAATAATTACAAAGTTTTTGATAAAATGAGTAGTGATTCATCGACTGGAAAAAGTCCTCCTAAGAAGAAAAATGTGAAATATGAACAGAAATTCGTAAATCCGTGGTTAAAAGATGATAGGTTCAAAGGCTGGTTAAAGAAAAGCACTAAAGGTGAGACATTTCTTTTGTTCTGCGTGTAATTGCGTCAGAAAATGTGGTATAAACGAACTGTTACGACACAAAGATTCAACCAAACACGCGAAGAATAGTTTGAAGTTACAAAAACAACAAAAACTAACATCAATGTTTACCTCAGCTTCCAATTCACAAGACACGAAAATTGCAGCTAAAGCGGGTGAAGTAAAAATGGCCTGCCTTATTGCTGAGCATAATCTGTCCTTTAACATAGCATCTCATTTGAATAAATTGATTTGCGCTATATGTCCAGATTCGAAAATTGCTGAACAATTATCCATAAGCCGCACAAAAGGTAGAGCTATTATTGTTAATGTAACTGGGCAGCCAGCTGAAGACAATATAATAGAGATGTTACAGAACAATTGCTTTGCATTACTTAGCGAAAGCACATATAAATCTACGATAAAACATTTAGCGCTTGTCGCTAGAATAGTAAAATTAGATTTCAGCGTTGAAGATAGATTTCTGACTTTAATACCAATCGTAGATGGTACAGCAACAGCGTTGTATGGCAAAATAGTAGAATATTTTGTTGAAAAAAATATTCCTTACAAATCAAACATGATAGGCTTTGCTTCTGATGGCGCTAACGTTATGTTTGGAGATAAACATTCATTGGTCACTTTGTTTAAAAATGACATACCTCACCTTTTTACTATGAAATGCATTTGTCATTCTTTTAACCTATGCGCATCATACGCATGTGAGAAATTGCCAAGGGGCGTGGAAGATTTCTGTAGAGACGTATATAATCCTGTACAAAATTCTCCAAAACGTATTGGAGATTTCAAAACATTTCAAGCATTCAGAAATATTAAACCACACAAATTACTCCACTCTAGCCAAACCAGATGGTTGTCGCTTATTGAGGTAGTAAATAGGCTTCTAGAACAATTACCAGCTATCAAATTGTATTTTCAAGCTGCAGTTCATGTAGATAGATTACTTTCTGCGTAATCAATTCTCTCCAAGGCTCTCGAACCGACAACTGAATTGTACCTGGAGTTTTTGAAATTTGCGTTACCTATATTTACCGATCTCAATAAAGAAATGCAATCCGAGACTTCGAAATTATATTTACTATACGACAAAATACTGACCGCATACACAACGATCTTGGAATGCTTTGTACAAGCTGAATATTTGATTCTCACTGAACCACAAAAAAATGAAGCACAAAACATTTTACACGCAAAAGAAACTAAAATATTAAACCTTGACTTCTCGAGTGAGCAGAATTACGTTGGTGGAATGGTGCCAAATTTGATCAGTAGAAAGAGAGAAATAGGAGAACTAGAGGAAGAACAACTGAAAATTTTCTACTTAAAGTGTAAGGAGTTTTATATCGAGGCTGCAAAACAGATATTAAAAAGGTTTCCTTTTGACGACAAAGACCGTCAAGCATTAAAATGTCTGAAGATGCTAAATACATTATTTCTTAACAAAGATTTGTCCAAATAATATAACGGAACTGGATAGAGAATGGCGAATGTTCAGAAATGTCGATTTTTCTTTCGACCAAAACAAAACTCCCGATATTATCGACTTTTGGAAACATGTACAAGAATTAAGAAATGGAGACGAATCTCAAACATTCCCTACATTGTGTGAATTGGAAAAAAGCTTTTGTGCCTACCACATAGCAGCACCGCCGTGGAAAGGTTATTTTCTGCTATAAATATTATGAAAACCAAATTACGCAATAGAATATCAACTACAACTATTAAAGGAGTATTACACACTAAATCCGAAATAACTGATTGCTATTCATTTGAAGCTACAGAAAAGCACATGAAGAAATTCAACAAAAACATGTATGATTTTAAAAATAAAAATGAGTGTGAAAATATTGAAGATGAGGCAATTGAAAAAGAAACTGAAAAATAATTTTACTTTGACTTTTGTTATATGTTGCTGTGATTATAAACATATCAATTTATGTGAGCTCTAGTAACTAAGAAAGTTGTTTATTATTTAATTATAAGAGCAAAATTATGAAATCTGCCTTTTTTTCTTTACCTACCGCTTTCTACTGTTTTTTTTTAGGCGAGTTGTTGTTTTTTGGTTTTTTGAGGTTGGCAACACTGACAGTAATACATAGAACAGTGGCTCTCAACCTTTTTGGGATCACGGAACACTTTTAAGTGGTCTCAATTTTGGCGGAACACCATTATCATAAAATTTGTAAATCTAATGTAAATCACACAAAATAATTGGAAGATTAATATTTAATTGAAATAAAGATATATATTACATGGTAACTTATTTTAATGAGAAATTTGCGCTTGACGACCTTTACAAATTTCCTCAAGGTTGGGTCTTATGTAAGAGAGCGCTACTCTCATTTCTTCTTCTAAATTGGTAAGTCTTTCTCTTTTTTTGCTTTTAATATTTGTTAGAGTTGAAAACCCAAGTTCGCACAGATAGGACGTCGAAAAGAGCAACAAGATATTCAACGCTCGTTTTGCAATAAATGGATGTTCATTCTCGATGGAAATCCAAAACCTTTCCACTCCTTCTTCTTTGAATTTTAGTTGTAACGTTCGATCCGTTGATATATTAATAAACTCATCTGCTTCCTGAATAGAAAAATCTTGGTTCATTATATCAAATTCACCAAATGGATTTCGCGCCCAATCAAAGTCTTCAATATTAAGAGATGGAAAGTAATGAGTTATTTTGTCTTGCAATATTGACAAATGCTCTACCACATTTGAAATCATTTCGTTAATGTTAACAATATTTTCCGATGCTAATAACGGAAACATATCAACTTTGCGATTTTGAGCAATACGATTTTTCCAAAGCAAAAGCTTTTTCTGGAAAGCTAGCAATTTGTCTGTGGATGTCAGAATATTTTCATTTTTTCCTTGAAGAGATGTATTGACTGAATTTAAGTAGCTGAAGATATCGGCTAAATATGCTAGCTTAGTACACCATGCATCATTTTCCAAATATTTTACGTATACATCATTACCCTCTTGTCTAAAAAAAACTAGCAATTCCTGTTTCAACTCATGAACTCGGGTTAGCACTTTTCCTCTTGAGAGCCACCTCACTTCAGAGTGCAAAAGCAAACATTCATATTTGGATTCCATGGTGTTACAAAGTTGTTTGAACATACGGGTTTTTAATGGTCTCGATTTAATATAATTCACCATATGTACGACTTGTTCCAAAACAGACTTTAAGTTTGCTGGTAGACTCTTCGAAATCAAAGATTCCCTGTGCAGAAAGCAGTGAGTAGAGACTATATTTGAATTTATTGCTTTAACTCGACTACAAAATCTCCAGTTGCGTGACCAATAAGTTCCTTGCAGAATAAAAACTGATTTATTATTTCAGTGTCGTCAACAAAGCGAATAAATCCGATTAATTGGGCTTTGCCACTTATGTCAGTGGATTCGTCAATTTGCAGCGCAAATTTTTTTGTACTTAATTTCGCCGTCACTGCGTTCTCTATAAAACCTGACATATCTATAATTCTTCTTTTTATCGTATCGTCCGAAACGGGAATTTTTAGGAAGTCTCGCTGCGCTTCATTGCCAAACATAATCTTAACAATTTCTAAACATGCGGGCAAAATTAGCGATTCTGCGATATCATGCGGCTTTTGCTTCAATGCAATTAGTTCTGCCACTTTATAAGAAGCGATTTGCGCTTTATCCGAAATTGTAACGCTCTTTCGAAAGCATGTTGCTTGCACTTCTTGATTTTTCAGCAATCTTTCGAAATAATCTTTACCTTTCGAAGTTAGACAAGAATGTTTTGTTGAAAGGTGTCGCTGTAACTTAGCTGGGACCATTGCACTGTTAGCCAATTTTTCACCACATACAATACATCTCGGAATAGGAACATCTTGACTACCGCTCCATGTAAAACCAAACTTCAGATATTCTTCCGAATAATGCCGAACTGATTCGGATATCTTTTTACGTTTATTTTCGGCATTTTTGTTGCCTTGCATATCTCCTTCAATTGAAGAAGACCTGCTTGTACTCGCCCCAACATTAACCTCACTTTCAGTCTTTCTTTTCAAAAATTTGTCCATATTTCAGATTTAAAAGTCTTGTATAAATGCTAAAATAAGCAACTAAAAAAGATAAGAATACTGTTAAAACTACACAACTTGCATTTCATCTTACCAATTTCCAACAATATAAAATATATATATACAATAAAAAACACACTCACGAAAACTCGATATTTATATTAAATTATGGCTGAACCGCAGATTGAAATTGCGCTTTTGTTATTTACGTACGAAGAAAGAGAAACAGCACGAAATCAACACTACGTAGCGCTCCCTGCGTTATCGAGTACACTAGAAATTTAGTGGTATTCCCCGGAGTAACTCCAAACGACGTAACTGCGTCGTTCGATAATTACACTGTTAATATTATTGACTGTTCCGCGAAAATTTAGAATAATATTGAATATTTTTGCTAAATTTCAAATAATTAACAAAACTATGTAGTATTTATTTTATAGTAATAAAAAAATTTACTGTTTCTTATTATATTATATTCAAAATTTTCGCGGAACACCTGGGACAGCTTCGCGGAACACCAGTGTTCCGCGGAACGGCGGTTGAGAACCACTGACATAGAAGAACATGGCAAAAAAGTTACGAAACATCTCTCTGCATATGATCTCGAGTATGCTTTAGAAACACAATAGGAAAATATTTAATAAACAATAAAACTTAATCATCCAATTTCTTTCGATTCCACTATTTATTGAAAAACTACATATCAGCTCTCTAAATCTATGGGTCCGTAAATGGGCGATTAATTCTGATAAACTCGCTTGACGTCCTTGCTTTCAAGTTATTTATGTGGACTTACCCTTGCAATTTTAGCCAATTTATGTACAAAAGCAGACAAGGAACACAGAACGCAACAGTCCAGTAATTGGCTGAACACCGAAAACTATAATTAGTGGTCTGTACTTTTACCAGTGAAGTAGACATAAATGCCTATTTACTCTGTGGATTAGTCCCCGCCAATGTAATAGTATATAAAGAAAACCAAATGAATACTTCAAGAAATAGATCGAAAACTTAGTTTTAGTTTTGATTCATTATCGTGTTCATTTTTTAACGTAAATTATGTCTGCATGTAATATGTACTACCCATTGTCAGTTTATTCCTCAAAATTTCAATATACTTATCTAAACTTGAGCAATAAGGAGTTAAGGCAGTTTAAAATAAACTTAAAAGATAGGCCCCAGGAACTAAAAAATAATTTACATCGAATTTTGGCCCACATTTATTATGAATTGGAGCAAATTGTTGTGTCGAGAAACTCTAAACATTGCGTTAATATAGAAAGCTTAGTGAAAAAAGTGATACCTATAGAATATTTTGGGTCATTATTGAATCGCAGGCGATTCCTGTTTATTGTTAAGAGAATAATGACCCACACTGATGGGGAGTGTATCCACACGTCATTTCTATATGAAAATTATGACTATGAAGCAATACCTTGGCTCCGTCAAAAACACATTCGAGGAAAACACGAACTTGAATTCTTTAATGTACTGCTGCTGGAAAGTGTTGTAAAAGCTTTAATAAAGCATTTTTATGTCTTCATGAAAGACTATAAGGGAAGAAAAATAATACAAATTCCAAGAGGTAAAATATGTTTTAAGTTTCTAAGATATGTGGTTTGCATTAGTTGCATGTGTGTAATTTTTTAGATAAGTATTACATGTTCAATGATAAAATTTTTTCAAAACAAATTCAGTCGGGATTTATCACTCACAATCATGAAAATCTGGACAAAGCAACGCTCAGAGGCACCTTAAAATGGGTACCCAAGAGAAATATGGAACAGCTTTGCTATAGGCCAATTATTATTACATTTAACAAAGACAAACAATTACAGCGAGAACTTAAAAGAAAAGTCACTTTGGCCGCGAATAATTTCAAAGTCACATGCAAAGAAAAAATGTTTGATGGCTGGTTATCATATCTTCAACAAACTGAAGGCAAACGACTGTTTGGTAATGTGAAGCCATTTTTGAAGTCCATTATGTAAAATAAATAATCTTCTAGCTATCAAATTGGATATGGCAGATGCTTTTGGCAATGTAGACATAAATGTATTATGCACAATTTTAGAGAAGTGTAGCATATTGACAAAACAGGAAATAAATTATCTCTGTAAACACATTAAGCAGCAGTTTGTCTATCGACCTGGCAAAAACATTTGTCAATGGCATCATGGTCTTATGCAAGGGGACTGCCTATCCTCGTCATTGTGCGACTTATATCTAAGCTATCTAGAACACGAAAATATGATCAAATTTGCTTTACCCAGGTGTTTCATGCACCGGACTGTCGACGACATGTTATATATCTCAACACACCAGAGAGATATTTTAGATTTTGAGTTGCATGCCTGTAATGTATTTCGATTGAATGAGAGAAAAACATTAAAATATTTAGGTACCAAAGATTGCAATCCTTGTATTCCCTACTATGGCAAAGTATTTAATTTTAACACGAAAGAATTCTCCAATTATTATGAGTTTGAGAAAGGAACCCAACTTAGGACAAAATTTAAATTTTGGAATCCAAAGTACCCCTATTCGGCCGACAATGTGTTCCAATTTATTACGAGTTCCATGAAGTAAGTAATTTTTATTTCTATTTTTATAATTTATTATATTCTTATAAGATTGGATTATACTTTTGCGCATCCTGTTTAAGATCGGAACATAAAAGTTATGTTTCATTAAGACAAAATTCAAATTACTTCAAAAAGTTTAAGATTTTGGCACTATAAAGCTTATTAAAACACTTATTTCCATTAAAAAAATCAGCTTTGTTAAATTTAGCATTTTTTTGGACAACTTGTATTACATGTAAGTAATTTTTTGAAAGCCATATCCCAGTAGTGAAACTATTTCAAAGCCAGTTATTTTAGAATAGCCTAAAGCGTGATAATAATATATATTGATTGTTATTTTGCAATAGGACCATCACTCTTTTATTGCAGAATTAGAAAGAGCGCACTTATCTGCTAAAATCTAAAAAAAAATTGATAATGGTATTAACTCAATAATATGTTTTCAACTAATATCTTTTTATTAATCAATTCAGTTATATTGAAGCGTTCACTTTTACTTTAGAAGTGTATGATAAAACTTTCTTTTTTTTCTGATCACTTCTAAGGTAAAATAAGTTCACACCCAAATAATGTGAAGTTATTACATTTATATGGCAACATAAACGGAGATTATACATTAAAGTTTTTCTGTTACAAAAAAAAGAGAAAAATCGGTCATAATTTTGAAATATTTCGATTTACATTTTATAATAAATAGATATCACATAACATAATTCAGACGACAGGTGGTTTAATCAGAATATTTTGTTTCTTATACTGCATTCTGCATTCTACACATCTCCAATATCTTTATCTACCATTTTTCCCTTAACTTTCGATTCAAACGGCTTCGGCATACTTTTGTTACACTGAGAGTTTCAGGATGCGATAAAATTTTTTGTTATCTGTATATGTTTGTATGGTAATTCTTGTCAACAATACTCTTTATATTTACGGAATGGTATATTATATATTCGATATTTGCACCTTGTTTACAATAAACTTTTTTCTATTTTCTTCCTATTTGTATATTTGTAAGATACAATAAATTTGTTTCGTATTTATTTTATATGTAAAAAAAAATTGATGCAAATCTTTAATTTGGGCATCCTTGGTAACCTGATAATAGCCTAAAAATGAATAAAAAATTTTCGAGCACATCCGCACTAGTCTATTTTTAGATCTTTCATTTTTAAGTAAACTTTTCAACATTTCATTTTGTAATTGCTGTCCTAATTAGCTTTGCCTCTTTATAAGCACTATCCTAATATCAGAAAATAGTTTAATAGAAAATTTAAAAGCAAAAAGAATTATTTTTCTGAAACTGAAAGAAAAATATTCATTTCTGATTTTGATGATTATTATTTTAATTAAATTTCTAGTTGTTAATTTTTTTACATTAAAAAGTAGATATCTATTATTATTATTATTAGTTCTTGAATTTTTAGTAGTTAGGTGTAGATATAGCATTTACAATAAATTTAAGAGTATTTTTTTATTATTATTTGTAACCGTGAAGGAATTTTAGGATTGGGTTTATTTGTGGTAATTATTATTTAAATTCAATGGTCTTATAATTATAAAACATATTTTTATTATTTTATTGCAACTTTTAATATCTATTTTTTAATATTTAAAAATTAATTTTGCAATAAAAAATTGGCGTTTCCTTTAAAAATAATAACTACGCCACATATCCGTTTTGTCTACTTCACTGTAACGTTAAAAAACTCTTAATACGTTGGACAAGAATAGTTCACGAGCCCAAACAATATCTTTAAATAAAAACGCATTGCTCATTTACATGGTGGAGGATGATAATCGTTAACCTCATAAATTTCGTATGCTCCCTAAATAATCATTTGGATTGTTTTTTTTTTCAGATTCCAGTATTTGAACTTCTGTTTTACAAAATTTGAACTCAACAGCCAAACTAATTCTGTGGAAACTATACTAAAAAATTTCTACCTGGGCATGTGTTATGTTGCATTTAAAATGGACTGTGCGATTCAAGCCATTAAATATGCGTTTTTGACTCCAGAGAAGTTCAATCTAATAGTACTAAATGTGATTGAATTTATATTAGAGACTTATTGTAAAAAGGTACTTAGCTTTATTGGACGATATAAGGGAGATGTATTTCGAGATGTTTTCAGTTTTAAACTTTTGAATACTATTAGTTTAAGAGCATTTGTTGTAGTGTTACGTAAAAGGTATTTGACATATAAGGAGATAATTAAGGTCATTAAGGACAGACTGACAAAATCCAAAATGCCTTTTAAACAAAAAAAAATAAATCTTGATGTAAAATATTTTTTTAAACTTCCCAATGTTTTTGAAAACATAAGGATGAAGAGAACTTTCCAAAAATAATTTGATTTGTTATTCTAAAGTATGCAACTGGAGCTTCAGTTATTTGTAGGCATAGTTTATTTATGTATTTTAATTTTTCAACATATGAAATATATTTTATTCAGTATTCTGTTATGCGAAATGATTTAGTAGGTCTGATAAACAAATTGATCTAGACATTGGTGATTTGCAGAGTAATAAATGTAACAAAATCAGAGGCAGAAAAGAAAAATTATGTAAAATGTGGGTTTTACAGAATGGCTAAGGTTGAGAAACACAGTTTTAGAGGATGGAAAAATAGATCAGAATATGAAATAACTAAACTTACATAAACTCTAAACAAAAGGTCAATGAATGAATCAACTTTTCAGGTTTTTAAATGAGTTTAATAAATACATCAATATTTTGAATTGAAATATTGAGATAGAATAACAATTTAAATTAAAATTTTTCCTGAAAACTATTGACAAGAAATCTATGAGAAATTTAATTGTTAAATGTTCAGAATAATAAAAAAATAAATTAAGCGATTAAATGAAGTTTGATTCCCAAAAACATTTTCTTACTCTTCGCCTTCTCCCTTCCTTTTGGTTCCTTCTTTTTGCCTTTTAGACTTCTTGTTATCTTTTTCTAAATCTATTGGAGCTGGCTTAACAAATGGAATTTCTATAGAATATTCATCGGGCATGAATTCCTTTAGAACATCAGGAATTTTTATACCAGTTTCAGTTTGATGCACTTCCATTAATGCGCAGATGACTCTTGTTGTTGCACACATAGTTGCATTTAACATGTGAACATAGTCTGTAGCAGTGTTCATTTTTTTGGTTTGACCATACCTTTATAAGAGAGAAGTTTTTAAAACATAAAATATGACAAAAACTTTATGCATTACCTGACTAGCAATCTCCTAGCCTGATATTCAAGACAATTGCTACATGAAACTAACTCTCTAAATGCTCCAGACCCTGGAAACCATGCTTCCAGGTCCAACTTTTTAGCTGCAGCATTATTCAAAGCTCCTGATACTATGTTTACAATTCTATATGGAATGCCAAGTTCTTTGTAAAATTCTTCAGCATTAGAAATCATTTCTTTCATCATTTCCCATGATTTGTCATCAAATGGCGATGTTAAGCAAAATTGCTCAACTTTTTCAAACTGATGTACCCTAAAGATACCTCTGGTATCCCTTCCATGAGATCCAACCTCTTGTCGGAAACATGTTGACAATCCAGCATATTTAATTGGAAGCGCACTTTCGGGTATCCATTCATCTCTATGAAAAGCGGCAATAGGTTGTTCTGAAGTTGCAATTAAATATTTCTCTTCAATTTCTTTGTCTTCTGCGTTTTCACTGCCTTTCCCAATGACCTTGTACAATTCTTCATCAAACTGAGAAAGTTGTGCTACTTCCTGCATGATTTCCTTCCTCATAAAAAAAGGGGTATACAAAGGTTTGTAGCCTTTCTTTAGAAGTTTTCTCAAAGATAACTGAATTAAAGCCTGTTCCAGGAAGACTGCAGGCCCCGTCAAATAATAACCTCGTCCCCCTATAAATAGTAGTGAAACAAAGTTAAACATATTTTCTACATATTATTAAATATTATAAAATACAGTACCTGATACAGTAGCTCCCCTTTCACCATCCACTCCATCAATCATGCAAATTAAATCAACATGAGAGTACTTTTTGCGAACTTCACAATTACCAAATGTACGTTCGACTTTGTTGTTATCTTCGTTGTCATCAACCGGCACAGATTCATGAAGGTGATTTCCCACTTCCCTTAAAGCATTATTACGTTCCTTTTCAACAGTGAGCAACTCATTATCGTTTTTACTAACTTCCTGATCAATGAGACCTCTAACCTAAAATCAACAGTTCCAGCAACACACACTTAAAAACTTCTAGAGTATAAACAACCTTTTTGATTTGGTTGACTGTCAAGGTTTGTAACAAATCAAGTGTTAAATTTTCCAACTGGGAAACAACATCTTCTGGAATATCAACATCTACATCTCCAATGGGCTCTTTCTTCTTCATTTTTTCGCCAACAGTTTTACTACATACGTTCTTTAATTTATTCAAATTATCCGCTTTATGTCTTAATTGTCTCCAGATGATATCTTTCTCTATTACTGTATCCACTAATTGTACATCTTTATACCGTTTCCTCTGATTTTCTTTAATTTTTTCTGGTGTTCCTCCCTTATCGGCTCGAAACAAATCTAGATCTAACACCATTTCAAATATTTTCTTTAAAATCAATTTGGATGATGAAACTAATAACCTACAAATATTGTTAAGGTTAATGCCACATTGAACATTCTAGCGGTTGCCACCGTCCAATGACACACCATACCCCACAGTCCTGCCAACACTCGATTTCCTTCCTCTATATGATAATCGAATTTGCTGCTGTGGATAGAAAAATTTTTTTATATATCTCTATAATTTATTTTTATATTGGACTTGCCGGATTGTGGCGCACAGATATGCGAAGTTGCCCATAGCAGAACCATTTTAAAACTGGGTCGATAAAGAAGGACGTTTTTCAGGTAATGGTTCGTGTCCGGTATATCCATAGTTGTCAAGGAATATGGCTGAAGTAAATGTGTGAAAAAATAATTCATAATTGTCTAGAAACTGCTATCTTTCTAATTGTAAAGCAGATTACCCGTTTTTATTTTGTTTTAGTGTAAACTGTGTGTGTTAATGTTAATTATTTTCATTTGATATTTGGTAAGCCTTTATGATTCTTGTCGCTACCTTTCCGGTCGTTTAGTAAAGTTTTTTAGTAAGGTAGAAGAAGTTTAGCTTATTACAAACCATTTTTATACAAGCAAAATTTTTTGAGCTTTTTCATTTGCTTGTTTACATTTTATTAATGTTCAAGGACGCAAAAGGAGGCCATTGGATTGTTGGTAAATAACCAACAAGATTCCAGTTAATGAAATTTTTTAATATTATGCACGTCGTGTTTGAATATAATATATTTCTTTTTAATTAATTGTTAAAAAAAAAACACACACACACACACATGTGGATCCAGTTACCTGAACATTTATAAAAATTGAGTTTTTTTTTAAATGTTAATTGTATATTTCCTATAGGTGTGCTATATGAAAATAAATCAATTGTGCAAAGAATTTTAACATGTTTTTAATAATAATGAAAATGTTATTATTATATGGATATGTCTTTATTTTGAGAAAGGCCACCATGGCATATTCCTGCCCGCGCGATCTGGATGGGTTTGCAGCCCATTTGGGCAAACAAGATGCCAGATCGAGGCAGCAAATTGGTCAGGATCTTTTGAACTTCTTAGCTGAACCAGCCAATCCGATTACATGTCAGGATATTGGTGCATTCGTAGACGGACTTATTCCATGGATGCAAAGCAGCAACTTTAAGGTAAATTGAGTTTTTTTTTTCTGAATTATATTAATATTGTATTTGTAGTGTATTGTATACCATTAAGGGAAAACCCTGACTTAGTAGTTTGTCATATTTGTAGGTGTTTATTTGCTTTATGTATTTTTATAACAGCTAAGTGATATTTCAGTTCCATTCCTTCTAACCCATGCATATTTTATTCTTTTGCAAGATTTTAATAAAAAAATCTTTTATTAGGATAAAATGTACATTTGTGCAGACAACATAAATCTCTTATATAAAAACTTATCACCAAACATAAACATTTCTCTGCATCTTTGAGATTAAGCTTAAATGTTTAAATATATTTCAATTTTTATAAAAAAAAAATTGCACCAGCTGTCATATTTTTTCATCTGTCGAGTTATGGTTGAAACCTTATGTAAATCTGAAAGAATGTTCAATTTTTCATAGACAATGTACCTTTGTTTAGGTTAACTAAAAACGCTTTGTGATTTATTTGCATTTAAAAAGTTCAAGGTTTTTCTGATTTTTTTTTTGATACCTAAAAGATTAAAATGTAGGGGGGAGCAATAAAAACAGAATATTTACCAATAACAATTTTGGTAATGGTAATAATAAAACACTTTAAATCAAATGTTGGAATCGGAATGCATTTTAGAATACCCTCACTTAAATCTTTTTGAATGTTAAACAAATCTTTATTATTTGTATGGGTATTTGCTGCTTCTTGTATTTTCTGCCGTAACTACTGCAAGGAAGGAAACTTCTTCATTGTATATCAAATTCTTCCAGGGTGACCATATTGGGAGGTCCATAGGGTTTAAGTTTGGACTCCCTGTTGGCCAAACAAATTAATTCAATTCCACAAAACAAAATGTGCTGGCACCCCATCATGCATAAACCACTTTTTTTCTTTTAAGGCTAGTGGTAGATCTTCTAGGAGAAGATTAAATAATGTTAGTTAGATTGGCCAGCAATTCAAAAGGACCAACGTTAAAATTAGAAATTACACCAAACCAAATATATGGAGCATATGGATTTTCAAAATCCCACAAATGATTATTTTTTAAGAGCTAGAAATGAGTGTAAAGATAGCTTCGTCGGTACAAAATTTTATTAAGAAAGTTTGGGTTTTTGGTGCATATTTTCTAAAAATTGAGTAAATTGTAGGCGTAAATAGTAAATCTGGAAGCAATAACTGCTTTTCTGTAAATTTATGATTGGCTTATCCCGGGCGCCGCACTTAACCGACGAATATTCAAACCTGAATTTTCTGAAGTACAAATCCGAAAATACGAAAATATACGAAAATTCCGTCTTTTTTTTTCGACAGTGATGGTTTTTTGTTATTGGTATACCATTATGTCTTTTCTGTCGAAATGATCCTGTTTCACCTAAACCGTTGTACAGATTTCTAAAAAGTTTAAGATCAGGTTACCTCCGATTGGGGTGTAGTTAGTGTTGGAACTGGTGAATCGACCACAGTCGACTCACCACTTCTTAGTTGACCGATCAGCTGGCCACTTCTTAATTGAAAAATCAAAAAATAATGCGTTTGTCAGGTCCAATTTACTGATAACAAGGGTTTCCAATTGACCGGTCAAATGTTTTTGTGTCAATTGACCGGTCAATTCCCGGTCAATTGAACGAATCAATTTTGAAATTTATATTTATTGACCAGCTCTAACACTGCCTATAGCCCTCTTCAAGGAACAGCCTAATACGATACTAAGTGATTCGGGGAATCACAATAATAATATCGACTCCATTTGGTCCCCAGAACGACTCGACAGCGACGCAATGCACAATATAAACAAATAAATATAAATTTCGTGGTATTTTTAAAATTATTTCGGTTGATTGACAAAAAAAAATTGACCGGTAAAAAAAAACAATCATAGATACATGTAATAGATCTTCGGGATGTCGCAAGTCCACTTAAATTTGTTTGAGCAAAAACCCAAATCATGTGACGCATCATATGAGAAAATACTAATCACAATTTAATCACACTTAAATTTGACAAATGCTGAGACAACCATACATAGACTAATTAACATCATAGATTGAGTACATTGTACAATGTTGATTCGAACTTTTTTTTAATTATCATTACCAAAATTGTTAAATTTTTATTTTTTATTGCTTCCGTTACCTTCTCATTATTTAAGTATTTATAAAAAAAATCGGAAAAAAATACTTGAACTTTTTAAATGCAAATAAATAACCCAAAAATCGACAGTGTTAGTCGGCCTACTAAATCTTTTCTGTTAAACCTTTCTCAATTAATGAGAACATTTAGAATAAAATTTAAACATTCAACGCCCTGTATCTCTAAAACAGCGACATTTGTAGGAGGCATATTGAGCTCCATCATCATATTTTGGTGCTGAGTGAGAGATTACACATTTTTGGCCATGCCTTTCTTAAGGGATGGCCGCGGTAAAATTGGCGGAAATACACATTCTTAAATGAAACACATCTACCTACCATTATTGTCACCCTTTTTTGTTTATAATTAACCTGTTAAAACTAACAAATTTAGATATTCTGATAATAAAGAAGATATCACTGGAAAGGTTTAAAAATAAAACTATAATTTGCTATAGCCAAGGGAACCATGTAAGTGATGTGGAATTGCCTATTAAACGACACCGCGTTAGGCTACTTACTGCAAAATCATTACGTGACATTAATTTTCAAATAGTCGATAAACCGTTAATAAATTCTTAACAGTAATTAACTATTATTATGTTTATTTCGCGGTTCACTTTTACGTCATCGCCGCAAAAAGGCGACGTCGATAACGTTAAGATTGTCGCTAATTGCTATTCCCACTAATAGTATGGTCTGTCTCAAAGTATATCGTTGAACCGTCGTTATTGCAAGACAGAGCATCAGGGACGTGCTTTTAATTTATTTTAACGATATAAATAAGAATATTGTATTATGTGTGTTTAGGAATAATAAAATCAGATTGGTATTAATAGAAAACACGTTGACACATCTTTAGATGCCCATCCATTCACTGGATGTTAGCGAAATCTCTCTTTGTCTGTTGCGGTGTTTGCTCTCCTATAGTCTTTAGACCCGTCCATTGTCTGATGTTTCTCGCCCATGACTTCTTCATTTGCCACTCGTATCGGTCCAGGGTATTTTTAAGAGACGTCTGTCTATATATCCACGTATCCACGGTGTCACTAAATATATACAAATTTTTGAATAATAACATAAATAAGTACGTTTTTATATCTAATTCTGTTTCAATCTTAGAGTCGCCATTAAGATTCATTACAATGGGCTCCATGTTAATATTTTGTTCCAACAATTCTATAAGCGGGAACTAATATTAGGAATGGGACTAACTAGAGTGGGGAGAAATTGTTAGAGGATTCTAGATTGTCCAACGTACGACAGATAAACCAAGGTTGGGAAAATTAGGGTTGTATATCTGACACTTGCGCACCATAATTGTCGTCTTATAAGTATTTTAAAAAAATAACACCAAAAACACACTAAAACCGTCTCACAGCACAAAAAACAATAACACAAACCAAGCGAAATACACCGATGTTGTTTTCCTATAAAGCGGTGACAGCGTCTCTAGTGCGTACTATGATATACCAAATGCTGTAGCGGTGTTGCGCGATATACGGCTTTAAATTCTTACGGATAAGAGCTTATATGCATTTGCCATTTCTGAAGCAGCCGTTCGTTATGAAAGAAGAACATCCAAAATAACAAATAGCATGAAATATACAAATATCAAAAGACAAAATGTTAAAAGCAAAATAAAATCCAAAAGAGTTTCAATTTTGTTGGAACTGGAATTGATAATTATAGACCTGGCAAACGCGTCCAATAAGGCATTTCGAATGGAATTTAGACTTGGTCTCGCAAATGTTCTATGGCGCTGAATATACAATGATATGGAGGAAGACGTAAAATTGGGTACATATACTTGCTACTTTAATAGCATTATAAATTTGCCCTTTCTTGTCACTGGATTCAAAATAAAGGTCACGTTGTACTAATATTCTTGAATTTTACTTTTTTTGCTTGACTATTTTGGTGCTTTTATAGCAGGTGGTGATAACTTGCGTTATACATTACCATGACACTATTATCCGGAATATTGTATAAAAGATAATTTTGAAGCTAGTTTTCAAAAAGTTCAGTAATTGTATCTTCCTGAGAGCCCAAGCTAGAGTCCTTAATATTTTTCGCAAACAACAGCAAATTTAAAGGTGCTTTTGTCTGACAGTTCTTAATGTTGTGTGTTCTATCTATTATTCTTCTATATATTATATATTATACATTTGTTTTCGAATTTATACTTTTTATTTCCTGGTTCTCTTATTTAAATCCCATTTTACAAATAATTAGAGGGTGGTACGGTTTTTCAAGTTTACTTTTTGGTTATCTTTATCTTGTTCAATATTACCCAGACAGAGGGATTGAAAATCACATTACCGTTTTTGTCAATAGGCAGGTTTCATCTATGTTGTTCCTTACCTATGGCTAAATTGTTGGTTGTTGAGTTTACCCAGCAAAAATAGATATGAAGGTCGTAATTACTTTTGGGAGAGAGTCCATCAAAAGCCAAGACAATCTACTTTGAGACACACCATCCTACCTTGGCTTCCAGGCGGGTAAAATGAAACGGTTCATTTTCAATAACCTATTTGTGGATTTCCTGAATGGTATAATACCCGTTTTTCTTTAAAACTATTTATGGGTTTAAATTCTAGTTCAGCGGTTAATTAAAATTTTTTGCGACCCATTTGATTAGTTGCTGTTCGTGATTTTTATCGAGAAATATGTTATACTCACCAGCGTTAATTTGTATGGTAGACCATTTTTTTTCACGGACGAAATGTATTAAAAATTGCATTACAACATTTTTCAATATTTAAATTATTAATTTTATTATTTTCAATTAATTAATTATTATCATTAATCATATTTCAATCGATTTGTAACAATTCAATCATAATTAAAATTAGAAAATTAAA